CTAGGATAAGTAATAAGGGAGTTAGAGTGAGTTTAGTTGCCTTAGTATGTTACGTTTTTTTCGCTTGAGGCTAATTCAGAGGCTGAGTGCTAGCAATGTGGGGTTTTTTTTGAAAAAAAAATTAAAAAGATCAGTTAGCTGAGTTTCTTCCCGTTACATGGATATAACACATTCATAGTTTTATTCAATATTAAGATTCCTTAGACGTTGTTTCCTGCAAATGACGCGTTTATCCGCCCGGTACCGTGGGGAAGGTGTGAAACAGGTTAAAACAGCATCCACATGTGCTACTGTATGCTGATCAACACAGACTTAAGGCTGTAACTCCTGAACAATACATAATGTGTTTTTCCTTGATTTAGATCACTTTGCATACATCTGTATTATATTTGATAATAAATAACGTTTCCCTTTTTGATCAATGTCAAAAAAGCCATAATGAAATCTTCTTTTATTCACTTGTGTGAATATGAAAGATATTTTTGCATACCATTTTTTTATATAATATTTACATGCAGGTTTGCGGTTTTAAGATCTTGAGATCAGGAGTTTTTATTTATTTATGCAAGATGGAGCCAGAGGAGTTGATAATGATTGAAGACCTGCTGCAGCTTTTTTGAAGGCCGAGTAAACTGTCAATAAAGCTTCTCATAAAACAGGTGCGTCATCTGTAAAATGGGACTTAATTACTGTTGTTGCTTGGAGAATGTATTGATTTACATTCTGGTATTCCTGTAACCACCGACAGTGACGCTGATCTGGGGAAGGTTGGCAAAGTAATTGTGCATTGGAACAAAGCACAATGCCTTTTGTCGTACAAGCTTATCTGCTTCACTATATGTAATGATTATAATGTTAAACATCAAAGTGTACCATATATGTCATCCCTATGAGGGACCCATCATAAAAATGGTTGGATAACATAATGTTGTAATGTTATTATGTGTCAGTACTCCAGGGGGACATTGTAAAGGTGATAGTCATTGTGAAAGCTCTTTTCTTTGGGAAGGAGATTGCTCTAACAGCCCCTTTATACAGTATCTACCCTCCAGGTGGAAACAGCCCCAATTTGTCTTCTTGCCATTCAGGCTGTTACTTGAGTCAGAATAAAAAGTGTGAAGATAAAGTGCAGAAATAACACTGATTTATCCTCATGGGCTAGACATTAAACTTTTCCTCAATTGTAATTTCTCGTACATTTGCAAAGACAATATTTTATATCTAAACTGTTAAATGATCACATCAATTTGTATTACCTCACAGTCTTCTTCCTCCCTTTGCTGTTGCATTGCTGCATATTTTGGCGTTTTACTGCCACCTGGAGATCAGTGGAAGAGTGTAAAACCATTGGGAGGAATGTGTATCCCTTCTTCCAGGTGCTACTAGAGGCCAGAAGGTACACATGTACATATTAATGTGTACATGTTCAAAACATTGATAAAACAGTAATGAAATAACAGATTACACCCAGTAGACAAACAGATATGAATGCATTACAAATAATAAAGAAAGTAACTCGAAAGGGGTCCAAAACATCTCCCCTCCTGGTCTCAGAGTAGAAGAGACTTGCATTTATTTCAGGAAATGTGATTTATGGAAGGTCATTTTATTTAATAATTAGATACATAAACTAACGTTACCAAGCCACACACAGGAATAACTTTCAACGAATGATAAGGATGGCACACTAGGTCCAAAAGTATGTGGACATACTGTATACAGTTACAGTAGTTCAGGCACTAACAGTTTCTGTACTGTCAGTCCAATAGTCTGTAATATTGGAGTCTTGTCACATAACATTAAGCCAATTGCAATAAATGTGTGATTGATTCTGGTGTTTTGAGGACCATGCTTCTTTCAATTCAAGGTCATTTGAAATAAAAACCAGATGCTTTTTATCCTTTGAAGATTTACACATGTGTAATTAATTGCCCTTTTTACAGATATCACCCAGGCTTTGCTCTATTTCCTTTTGTTGGTCAAAAATACTGCTGCTAGGATTATCCCCGGGACAACAATTCTAAACTTTAATTCTAGCCTCCATGCATTGGCTTCCAGTTAGTTTTCACATTGATTTTCCAAATGTTATTATTGACCATCAAGGAATTAAATGACCAGACCCTAGTTTTATCAAAGATTTGCTAAGCCCTTATGTGCACATACACACATACAGTATGTGCATCCTTTATATCAGCTGAAAGTGGCCTTCTGTGCTGACTAAAGCTGCCTTCACACGGTAAGAAATGTTCTCTTTGCTCCCCCCGAGGTGAGGTGCAATTATTTGCACATTGCAGTCCAGTTCTCCAATCTCTGAAACAATTTACCTGTTGAGATTAATTTCGCTAAATGTATTATTTATTTTAAATCTCTTTTTATTATTATCTCAAGCTGAAGTTTAAAAAAAAAGGCTGTATTTGATTTCTCTGTCACTAAGTAACAAACTTTTCACACACTTTCACTCAGATATCGATTGTCATCAAGTGTCAAAAAAACACATCTCACACATTTTGAGGCCAGAAACATGTTTGAAAGGAGATGCATGAAAGTAAATGTGACCCAAAACACCGTAAAATAGGACTGAACTTAACTCAAGGAAACCTATTGCTTCAAGGTAAGATAACCAAATATAACTATAAGTCTTAAAATGTGTTTATTTTATTTGTACTTGTTAAGTTTACCTCTAGCATTTTGTTTGTTCTGAGTTTACAGCACAATGGCTGAAAAGAAAATCATATGTTTTATCATTTTACACACAAAGACAAAACTACCTGAAATAGAAAAGAAAGCTTTTCGCATCTTCACTACAACCAACAGAAACAAACCTATTAGGGCCAATTGTAAAAAAGATACCACATCCATTTTGTGCTTTTCAAAAGTGTGTAACTCTTTTTCCTTAATGCAACCATTTCATTTTTACAATTATAGCTTTTTCTTTACAACCTTTTTCTTCTACCACATAATAATAGTAGAAGACTACTAGACGACTATTAAATAATTCGGAAATAAAAACGAGACAATAATAATGTGAATGTGTTCATTTTGTGTTCTCTACATTTTCAATTCCTTGGATTTATAAATAAATCACATGGCACAAATACATTAATGAGACTTGCTCTGTTGTGGACTGTGACGAATAGAAATGCTGTAAAGAGCCTCTCGTCACCAATTATTAATTGTGCATACCCATGAGGCGTCATTGACATCAACTGTATAAACACGATGACATTCAGAGCTCTGACGTCCTTCGGTAGCTCTGACACTTTGTCTTTGGTTGCTGAAGCTTGCACATGAGTGGCAACAACACACGGATCAATACACCGCTAAGTGAAGAGGAACAACACTTACACACACTAACCTTTACAGAGACTGTTCGATGGCTTAAGGAGATTGAGAGATGCTTATGAGAAAAAGCCTTTGAAATTATTTCAATAAAAGAGTGCGAGTGAGAGACAACTTCAGACCATTTAAAAAGAGCGCATTCAATCTTTCTATAGGCTCTACTTCTTCACTGAGTTCAAAATGAGGACGAGTATTACCGAGAGTATTTCCTACAGATATTGTGAGTGTGTCCCTCTCAATGGCTTCGATGTTTGCCCTTCATAGTGAAGAATAAAGTGTGCATTCTGAAGATACATGAAGTGATTTCTGTAGGATTTTTTAAAAGGGATTTTTAAATCATGTGCTTCTAATGGTCCTGATTTGAGTTTCTCTTATTCCCTGAATTTAAAATGTTATAACAAATCCTTATTTACATTTGAGACCCTGTACAGAATGAGCCTGACTATGAGGATGGCATGTTAAGTAGATAGCTTAGACCATGCAGGACAGAAATTTGGCAAGGCACTTACAGTACACCACAATTAAACAAACGCCATCCAGACGGAATTATACACCCACTCACAACAAACCTGAGCATGATCCTCTCCCTCAATGAAACACCAAATTAGGACATTGCGCTGTGACATGGTGACTGTGAATCCAGCCTGTGACAGGGAAGAATAATCAAGTCCAGTGAACGCAGAAACTATGTGTTGTGTACACACTCAATAGGATTAAGACTCTAAACATAACCAAAGTACAAAGATACACGAGGAACCACTTTCACTATATACGTGGAAATAAAATGCACACTAATTGGACTTCCCTTTTTATTGATTTTTTTATTACTTTTATTTTTTAAAGAGAAATGTCCGGGGCAATGTGTTTAAGCTAGCCTGTCAAATAAATGTCCTGAGAGCTGCTTGAAAACTGCATACACAACAACAAGCAAAATAGACACAGTTAGACATTGCGTAATGCAACACTAAATTACAAATTCAATCTCTAACACATTGATTTATATTCACTGTTGTTTTTTTACACTGAGTACACCTGAGTCTCGGCTCTATAAACATCCTGTAACCAGTGGACAAATAACATTTAAAATACATCTCTGAAGAAAGAGTTAAAAGTTATCATCACAGCATCAAACATTTAGAAAGATTGTGCACATACGGTGCGATCTATTTTACATCAATATTCAGAAGAATCTACTCCAATGTAAAAAGATACCCCATATTAGATGACAAAGAGCAAAAGTGCCAATAACTGTGAATTTACTTTATTAAAAGTACCTTATACTACAGGGGCCTTATTCTGCCTTTTCTAAAGACTTATACTAGTTTCTACTTCATCATTGTGTGTAATTTCCCTTCCCTAAACATTGTCCATGTAGCTTCATATCTTCATGTCTCAACTTCTGCTCCTCTGTCAAGATTGGTAAACTTGTATGAAACCAATGATTATGAGAAACCACCGCTTTACTGTGACTCTGAGTTCTTCTGTTGCCTAGGCTACACACGGCTGGTCCACAGTGTTCTCATGACAGCGGGACATGACTAAAGCCTGCGAACATTATCCACATATATTAATGGTATTATTGGATTATTTGGTAAACTGAAATCACAAAAAAAAAAGTATGTCTCTCACATAAACAAAGTCACACACTTATAAACAAAGATTTACACACAATCCTCCTGATACACTTTTCTGCCATTGATCATGCTCAGACTGGCCATGGAGTGCCGTGAGCTGCGGACGGACGTCACATGTGTGTTGTAACGACTCGGGCTCTGTGAGGAGCGTTTAAAGATCACGCGACAGCAACAACACAGCTGCTGGTTGAACTGCTTCTGGAAAGTCTCGCTCAGCAGGTAAAGGGCGAAGGGGTTGAGGCAGGAGTTGGTGAACGCCAGGATACGAGCTACAACGCTGCATACAAAGTGAAGAAGGGAAGTGTCCACCTGGCAGGGGAGAGAGACAGGGTGGAGAAAATGTTTTACTATAAGATGGAGAGACAGATAGAATGTGAATAAGTAGCCTAAGGGATGTAACCGAGCACAACTACAGCATTTAGATATGAATGCACTCTGGTATAGACAGAATCTGAAATGTTCACTCAATGAGCACCTATATAAAGCCTTTTTATTCAATCGCTATCTTAATTTTCATCAGACACTCCAACCCTACTTGAAATGTACTTAGACCTCTTCACATTATCAACAACCCCGCCAGATTTAATGGAATCATGCCCATTAAACTCTGTTAAAGCCTTCAATCCCTTTATCAACCTGAAAGACTTACACAGCTAATAAATTATACATTCATTTAGGGATGTGGTTTAAAATATAACGTTTTTTTTTTTTAAGTATGACGAATGCAAGTGTGTAGTAACAGATTGAAACAAATAAACATGCTCCATAGCAAAGGGCTATCTGTGTACCTGTGAGTAGTGATAGGAGCGGTATAAATAGATGATATGACAGGGAAGCCAGCACACTGCAAAGAGACCAACAAACACCAGCACTGTCTTCGCCAAACGCTTTCTTGATTCAACCTGTTGGTTGTAGAAAAAGTCAAAATCAGAAAAAAAATGCTGTTGTGCAATAAACAGTATTGTTAAATAGACATTTAAAAAATCATACTTTTAGTCTGTTTCAGTCAGTTGTGAAGAAATATTCATATATTACTAAAGAAAAGATGACAAAACAACAAGTCCTGCATTTCAAATTCAAAACAAACATACTAATTGTAAAGTATAGCGAGTCTTTTACTCCTGCCTAGAAGAATTGTTTTTTAACCAGAATCAAGACAATGTTGGGTCTTAATTACAATAATATATACAGCCTTTTTCCACCAGGCTGTCAGGAGGCTGAACACTCTCCCCTCCCTCCCCCTCTCCCCCCTCTCCTCCCTGCCCCCACTGGACTATAACTCCCCCACACACTCAGACATCAAATCCAGCACCAGACACTTGTAACACTGCTATGGACAATCTGGCAATAATGCACATTCTATGGACAATCTGCACTAATGTATTCTCATAATATTAAAGTGACTGTTATTTTGTACATATTGATTGTTGTGTTTTTATTAGGTCTTAATGTGTGCACATGTACAAATGCGTCTTTGACCATGTGTATATATATATATACATATTTTTATATATGTTTGTTTTTATATTCGGGATTGTGGGAAATGGTGTTTCGATCTCTCTGTCTGTGCACACAAACTGGAAGATAAAGTTGACTTTGACTTTTGACTTTGGGGTGGGGAACCTTTTTCCTCTCAAGGGCCATTTCAATTTTTTCAACATCCTCCGAGGGCCATACAAATTATTGACCTCTGCTTAAAAATACTAAAATCACAACCCATTCATTTCGCCTTTCTTTCATGCTGTGCAAAGAAAAAGCAACCTCTTAATCCAGATATCTTACCATGACTCGCGTATGCATTCACGTGCACGGTTGTGGCACCAAAACAGAAAGATATGGACACAAGATGTGTGCAATTTAGTTTAACATGATTTAAGTTGGGGGGGGACCTAACCTCCTTTAGGGGGGTCCGGGGGCATGCTCCCCCGGGAAGATTTTTTTTTAAATGTTGAAGTTAAAAGCATCAATCTGGTGCACTTTGAGAGCAACATTAGGAGATCTATGGATACATCTCTCAACACCCATATGAAACAGAACTGTAAGCAGATTTATTTTTCTTTATGGATATTTTACAAATCACTCCCCTTTCAAACTGTATTCTTGTTTATTAATAACAACTTTTTTTTACTGTCATATAGTATGTTATACCTGTTTACTTTATTCTCTTATTTTTTTATAACTATAATGATCATATAAAGATGTGCCTTTACCTCACTGGTTGTAGAAAAAGCTTCTTATATTCGTTAGCATAGCTAGCTAACCAGATGCTAATAACAACAAAGTTATTGACTGTATGATCAGTATGACAGATGAACAGATCGCCACTGGGCTTTCAACTAAAGACACAGCCACGCAAAAACTGCGGCATGTGTACGGCTCCTTACGGCCCGTCCACACGGCGGCGTGCGTTGAAGCTTCAACGCTTCTGCCCATTCACTTTGAATGGGGTGACGCCACACTTTGCCGAACTGCATTGTGGGAGCGTCGCTTCGCTTTGCTCGCGTTGCTCGCTTCAAAAGTTGAGCAATGTTCAACTTTTGAAGCTTCGGCGGAAGCGTCAGCCAATCAAATCATATGCCAGTACAAGCTCTAGCCAATCAAACCGCGTGCTTGTGTGTCTGGGGCGGGAGATTCATGTGATTGGTTGTTGGTCGAGCTTCAGACACGCCCGCCAGCAAGCTTCAACGCACACCGCCGTGTGGACACTGCGTTATGGGTACTGCAATTTCTGAAGTGCGTTCTGGTGCTCTCCGTCAGAACTGCACCCCTGTCAGACGAGACAAATACCACGTGATGACATGTTAGGCTCGTGTTGTGTTCAAAGACCCTGACCTTGGCCAGGAAAAACAGGCACTCGCTTGTTTAATTCTTTTGTGGTCTAGATTTCTTAAATGTTTTTCTTTTTTGCGTGTGTTTATAAATTACCTCGAGGGCCGTATCAAATGGTCTCGCGGGCCGTATACGGCCCGGGGGCCGGAGGTTCCCCACCCCTGATATATATATATAATATATATACATACGTATAATAAAATGTGGGAAATTAAATAATGAAACATTTGGCATGACCTCAGGAAATGAAATTGGCTACGGCCCTGATAATAACAGTATGAACTGGCCTGTCGTCTTGCATGCACGTTCCCCTCCACAGGAATATTTGAGGCGCTCCTCATCAGGCTCCGGGCAATGAAGGTGTAGTACACAGATATGACCAGCAGAGGACTGACGTAGAAAATTAAGAAGGAGGCCATGGAGTGGATCTTAGGGTGCAGTTCTCCAGCATGGGGATAAGGGGCACAGGTGACAAAGCTCTCATTGGTGGAGGTGACGTTGAAGGTGATGAGGTCGGAGTAGACGGCCTCTGGGATCGCCAGGACGAGTGAGAAGAGCCAGATGAGCGCCGCTCGCAGCACGATGCTGGTAGTGGTGTTTGAGGTTTGGATGTCCAGAGGCCTCACGATGGCCCTGTACCTGATAATTGATAGATAGACACAGTTTTTATTAGTTAGTTCATTACCATTGGAAGCGACGTTGACCTTATCATCCTTTTTAAGACAGCAACTGTTAGAATGATACCATCAAAAGTTGGTACCTTTTCACAAAACATTTCATTAAAAATAAAAATGTATGCTTATTAAGTTCGGCTGACTGTGTTCAACACTTAGACCAGCAAGAACACACATATTGGCCACTTGTGGGCAGCAAAATCAAGTTGAAAACAAATCGTTAACATACTATTCATTATATTACACACCTTGTTGAAGTCCTCAAATCTGAGTAGATGATTAATTCCCTGAATGAATGACACACTTTGCAATTGACACATTTTAATCTCTGAACACAGCACTATTAGTTCAAGCAGAGGCAAACAAATTATTTTTATTTTGTTTTAAATTCATTTAAAATCAATATTTTGTGTCTAAATATTGATCGATTTTGAAAGTAGCTGTCTTATAAGCTTACGAAGGGGTCCTGCTCATTCTGTTCAGGTTCATTTCACGTTTTTGCCCAGCTCTGTACATTATTGCTTCTTTGATGATATGGTGAATATTTTAACACTAGAACCGCCAACGGGTACATTTTACCCGCAGCTGTTTTTTGATTTTATGTAACTTTTTTCAAAAAATATTCAAGTCTCCCAGTCCTTTTCCTGAAAGTGTGTTATGTAGCACCCTGTAGGCATGGCCGCTTTATATACTGTGTGCCTGCGCGCGCATTCAGGTAGGCTCACCCTGATTGGCCGGTTACGTTTATGCAACTCAGTATGTGAATGCTCGCATAGCATGGTTAAGGGTAGTACCCATAGAGTCCAGTGCTTATATACAGGGTTACAATATGTAACCCACCTTTATAACAAAGAGAGGATAGTAGAGTTGAAATTATTTTGGTAAGAATTCATATTACATTCTCAAGTTCAGAAGTTTAAATGTTACTGTTTTAATAAAGACTTAACTTAAACAATTCTGCAATTTTACAAAACACAATGCACAATTAACAAGTTGTTAAATAATAATGAATTAACTTTGGTCCAGGTGTTCTGCAACTCTTTTCCCATAAGGAATGGGGTCAGATTGGAGCAGTCATCCAAGCAAAAGTCAGTTAAAGCCAACAGGATAGTATTGTCAAATGTAATTTTAAGATTAAACACCAGCCAAATTAAACATTTATTTAGCAATCTGGCAACCCAAACGTTCTTGAGGTCATGAAACTAATCTATTAAGCATTATGCGTGAAAGCATTACCCTTGTGAACATGGGGAAGTAATATAGAAAATGAAGAGCAATGAAAATAAGCCTTACCTTAAAGGGGACCTATCATGCAAAATGCACTTTTGTACGTCTTTTATACATGAATATGTGTCCCCGGTGTTCCAGGGAACTCACCAAGTGTCAGAAAACACAACCCTCTCTATTTTCCTCCATACCCAAATCTCTAAAAAAGGGGCTGCAACGGATCTGATAAAAACTGATCCAGATTTGAACACTGTCCTGACGTCAGGACGGTGGCGCTACGGCTATTGGGCCAACTCCACCAATCAGGAGGAGACAGCCACGGCCATTGCCGTTCGAAAGCGCTGGAGACGCTGCTGTAGTACATATGCCAGGCCTGTAAGTGGCGCTGTAGTCTGCCACAAAAGCAGCGAAGAAGACTTCCCGCCCATAGTTACCATGGTTACCCTTCAGTTTATTCTCCGCTGTGGCTTTTTTTCTCCCTCCCCGAGGCAAGCGTTTGCGTTTACAGATAGTGAAAACTACCCTTGGATGATGGGTTAGTAGACTAAAAGCTTTAGAAATCCAAAGTACAACATATAATAAGTACCCTGTATCAAGATTGATGCAAAACAAGTGACATTTGACCTTTTTAGAGAGGTTTAGCCAAAACCACCCCACCTCTGAGGTGATTTGGGTGAAAATGTTTTTTTTTCCATATCTCTGGCCCCCCTTGCTCGATTTTGATGGTTGACACCTCTTTCTGACCGTTAGAGCCAATAGAATCGAAGGGTGAGGCTCACACACACACACATTGTGAAGAGAAAAGGTGGGGGCTGCGCGCATGTAAATGTAAAGCAGAGTGGAGCTACATTCTAGCTCTGGCATTTGGAAACAAAAAAGCAGTTTTATTGCTTATGGATTATCAGAAATAATTTCAAAGAGGGCACAGATACATTGGATGAACCTATGGATTAACTGCAGCATCGTTTTTTTATCGTTTTAATGCCATTGAAGACCAGTTTTGACCAAGGTAAGCCATGTTAGCGTTTCTAGCTACTTAGCTCCACATGTTATGATGTACGCTTTCGTTTATAGCGTCGCAAATGTTTATCACTGAGTGTTGAGGTGGGCACCACTAGATTCAGTGTCTCCAGGACACCAAAAACGAGTGGTTGGCTGTGCATCTAGGATAAGTAATAAGGGAGTTATTGTGAGTTTAAGTGCCGTTTTAGGTTAAATTCTTTCGCTCGTGGATAATTCAGAGGCTGAGTGCTAGCATTGTGGGGTTTTTTTGGATTTTTTTTTTAAAAAGATCAGTTAGCTGAGTTTCTTCCCGTTACATGGATATAAAACATTCATAGTTTTATTAAATATTAAGATTCCTTAGACGTTGTTTCCTGCAAATGACGCGTTTATCCGCCCGGTACCGGGCGGATGGTGCGTAACAGGTTAAAACAAATGAATAACGACTCTATATAATAAAACACGGAGGACGGAGATCTCTTTTTCTCCCGCTCTTCTGACAGCCCAGCAGCTGATCAGAGCACGTCTCCCCTCTCCTGCAGGGGGGCGTGGTCAGCAGAATCAGACCCGTAGACAGCAAACAGCGAAATGAGGCATGGCTAAAATGCATGATCTGTTTGGTATTTTGAAAACAGAAACGTATAAATATACCTTATATAGGTATGGCCCTACAATATATCATTTAAATATAGCATGATAGGTCCACTTTAAAGATAACATCAACCTGCTGTTATGAATAATTGGAGGAAGTGATGTGTATTAAAACTGTTGAAAATGTGTATCCGCGGTGAAAGGAAGGGAAGGAAATTGAGTACTTTTTTTTTCTTTGCCCACTTAACCTCCACAGAATACTTCATTACATCTCCTGTCTATTTTCCAAGAGTCAAAACAAACTTGAATACACCACTTCAGTCAAGGATAATATAAGAGCTGTGCTTCATTTAAAGGGGACCTATCATGCAAAATGCACTTTTGTACGTCTTTTATACATGAATATGTGTCCCTGGTGTTCCAGGGAACTCACCAACAAAAACCCTCTCTATTTTCCTCCATACCCAAATCTTTATAAAGGGGGCTGCAACGGATCTGATGAAAACTGATCCAGATTTGAACACTGTCCTGACGTCAGGAAAGTGGCGCTACGGCTATTGGACCAACTCTCCATGTGGGGTTGGGCCACGGCCGGCCATTGCCGCTCGAAAGCGCTGGAGACACTGTAGTACATATGCCAGGCCTGTAAGTGGCGCTGTAGTCTGCCACAAAAGCAGCGAAGAAGACTTCCCGCGCATGGTTGCTATGGTTACCCTTCTGTTTATTCTCCGCTGTGGCTTTTTTTTCTCCCTCCCCGAGGCAAGCGTTTGCTCCTGCTGCTGTAATTCAATGCAATCCCTCCCCGTCAAGGCAAGCACTGTAATTCTCTCCGGTTAGTCCACCAGCAGATGACAAACACCCACCTCTCCGCCTCTTCCAAAGAACGAGGGGACCCTGCGGCAGAGTTTCAGGTAGGTTTTCTTTCGCCGGTCAAGATGTCCGTTAAAGTTTAAATCTTCCGGACAAAATTAGAAAAGTGCCGGTCAAAGGTCTTCTTTGTTATTTATTGAGCTTTAAAACAAATGAATAACGACTCTATAGGCCTATAATAATATAATAAAACACGGAGGACGGAGATCTTTTTTTCTCCCCCTCTTGTGACTTGATCAGAGCACGGCTCCCCTCTCCTGCAGGGGGGCGTGGTCAGCTGCAGCTCACAGAATCAGCCCCGTGCAAAAACAGTGCTGGAGAACAGCAAATAGAGCGAAATGAGGCATGGCTAAAATGCATGATCTGTTTGGTATTTTGAAAACAGAAACGTATAAATATACCTTATATAGGTATGGCCCTACAATATATCATTTAAATATAGCATGATAGGTGTCCTTTAAGTCTGCACAACCGCACTATTGATATTTTTGAAGGTCGAACACTGTAATTCGCAGCCCTTATAATCAGAATTGTAATGTGTTAGTGAAGATCCATCAACACTCATCTCTCCAGCAGCCATGTTGAGCACCTTGCAATGCAGAATGCAATTTAAACTATTGATAATTGATTATACAAAGAGAATCTTGTCCAACCAAATATGAAGTTGAACCTTACACTGGAAAAAATGCTGCTCCAAAAACAAGTTAAACAATAAAGAAAACAAGCCGTTTTCACTTGAAATAAGTACAAAAATCTGCTAATAGATCAAGTGAAAATTAGCTTGGTAAGATTCCTTGAAATAAGATGGGATATTTAGATAAATCAGATCTTGTAATTAGCTGGGAGAACTAATTTTGAACTATATTTGACCAGAATCAGGAAATGTTGTCAATATAAGCCGCAAATGCTCAAAAGTTTTCTATTTTCTGATGTTAGTTGGTGATTTTCTAATAAATATGTAAACAAATATGTGTTTCATCTGAGATACAACTCAAAATAAGATTGTTTGACTTAACAAGATGATGCATGTATTGTCTAAAAACAAGACCTGATATTTCACTGCAGTGTTACTTCTGAAGTTATTATGTCTTATATCAGGTGTAAAGACATATTCTGATAGATATTAGACAAATATACCTGGCAAGATTTCGAGTTTTTGTAGTGTAGACCTGTAGCTCATTTCCTCTACACATACTCCCAGGTCAGATAGGTTGTAGCCTATAAGACATACTGTGACAAATCTATAGCGAGGTTTCTCTCTTTGGATCAGAGGCT